TATCTATAACATCAGAGACTGCTGCCTCTGAACTCCTAAGACTTCAGAAGCATGAAGAGAGTGCTGTTGGATTCTGAACCTTGGCAGCATTTTTTAAGGCCACATAAGACCTTCTGCAAGTTTGTAAGGAGCTCAAATTTTAGGTCTTTTCCATAAAAATCTTTTCCCTAAAATCTTTAAGTCATTTGCTAACTGGCCAAGCAGCTCTATAGTCTTCCAAACTCTCATGGCAGCTAGTGATCAGGCACTTTACCAGTGAACTAGACTGTCTGGTTCACCAGTACATGAATCCTGGCTCTACAAGAGCTGCAAGATGACAAGCTTCCCCTGCCAGGTAGCTGCTGCAGAATGTGACAGTGACAGCCGGATTAGAGACGAAGGGGAGACACAACATCATCTGATTTCCAGTCTGTTCAGCGACACAAATCAGGGCTGAAACAGACCGGATCAACAGTTGTACAACCAGAAATAATATAACAAATACTATCAGCAATCAATAATTCAGTCACAGAAATAACAAAGCAAAGTGACTGAACAATACCACTTTTAATATGCACTGCATATGGGCAAGCATGTTATATATGCTGGAACTTGGTACGGGAGAGGTTCTGCCCCCCAGAAAATTGCTTATTTTAAAATGTTCCACAGAGGAACCTTTCACCTCTTTAGTATTCACCCCAAAAGAGTTTGAAAGCAATATTATCCTCATGTTATAAATACAAACCTGACAAAAAGATGTATAGAGTCTACAAAAAGGGTGGGGGAGGTATATTTATTCTAGTAGCACTGAAAAACTCTGCTTTGATAATCTTAGAATGAAAATGGAGAAAAATTAACTGCTTCATCGTGTTACATATTTGAAGCACCTTTATTTTAACAGTGCATTCGTCATCTATCTAATTAACTATCAATCAACTAAGCTACAAAGAACTATAGCTCTTATGATGCAATAATTAGAAAACATCTTCAACACTTACTAATGGCAAAGCTCACTTTCAATCCTACTTTGCATTCAGTTGTCCTAATAAATAGCTATTTCACCATTAATCATTATTATATTGAAGATTTTCTAATGCTCTACTCTTGCTATTATCAGTCTGTATTAGAATTGCTTTTCTGTTTCTTTAAACATGACTTTTGCTTAAAGCAAACCATAGCAACTGCAAAGAAGTTACCTGCACCCCCTAAGCTCTGAGTGAATTGCTCGAGCATTGCTAATTTTAAGGTGGGAGGAGTTGAAGAAATGAGGTCTTTTTATATAAAAGGCTTAAATGACTCATGAAAACTCTTTTGGCATAGCTTATACATGCTTGACAATTAACAACAACATATATAGCACTGTCCATCACTCAAGTGCTGTACAAACTAGCCCAAAAACATTGGACAAAATGTGCTGTTTCTGAGAGAAGGGAATTGGCTGTTACCAGGTCAAGTTTCCTTACGGGCTCTATAAAATACCTCACACTTGACATTCAATAAATCAGTGTTTAAAAAGTATAAGGTACTCAGCATAACAGTCCAGGAGATTTCCAATTGGCCAAAATGTCTGCAAGGGAACAGATCAACACAATCATATCCACTTACTTTCTGACCTGGCCAAATTTCCAGGCTAGTCACCAGCAATAGTACACTGTCATAGATGAAAAACCTGAAGGTTTTCTACCGCACTCTAAGGGAAGAGCTGCATACTAACCACAGACGATGGAACTGAAATGAACAGTCAGCTGAAAAGGGCTGTTTAAGAAGAACCAAGATCAACAGACATCTCTGGATCTGAATGTCTGGTCCACCTATCAGTAACTGTGCTTGCCAATCACCTTCACAGGCTAATCAAATGACAATTGCTTTTTGTTCTCCAGTACTCTTTTTAAGATATCCTAGAATCTAGCTCCACTAGTGATCTGATATTTATTTTCACACTACTTTTAGCTAGAGCCAGCTGATACACACTACTTTTGCCACCCACAGACTTTCTCTTCTGTCAGTCCTGCTTCCAGCTCTCAAATCCCTCTCTGCTGGCTAAACATTTTTTGTCATCTAGTCAGCACAGCTAGAGATTTATACTGCTCTGAGTGCCACAGTCCTGATCCCTTAATATGAAAAAAATTATTCTAACAGAGAAGTTAAGGCTGGATCACAACCAAAGGCTCAGTAACAGTACTGGACGTCCTTAAGCTCAGAAGCTGAAGAAGGAAGTTCAACAGAAATAAGATCATATGTAAGCAACGTGACACATAGTGACATACCCAAAAAAGTATAAAGTACTACAGACTGATATGTGCCCTGAGAGACACCAAACACCCATCTCCACTGCTTTTTTCTCCATCATCATGCCAACTTAAAATCAGAAAAAGAAAATGCTGAAACTTTCTCAAAGTGCTGCTGGCCTTCCATACTGAAGACAAAGCACTCACCAATGAAGAGCATCACTCCATCAGATGACACACAAGTGGCTTTCCTTAATTAGAGACTAGCTAACATTAGAATTGGCAAGCGAACAGAAGGCTCCACACATTGCTACTGCCTCCACCTACAACCTTTATCTCCCTTCCTCCGCACCCTATACTGACTACCTACCCCACAGTATTCCCTTTGTCTTCTTCTCCCACTCAATTTTCTGTCTGAAAAAACTCTCACCCTTTTACATGCCAGGTAGAACTCTCTCCCTTTCTTTCGATAGTTCCCTTCACCAATTCCTTCCAGCTTCTTTGTTCCACTCAGCTCGGTTGGGAGGCTTCCATTGCTATTATCCACGCTGCACCACAGGGCCATTGCTTCAGTCATCACACACCTCATCATTCAAGACGACAAGTGTGGGCTTCAAGACCTTCTGCAAAGCACACCTGATGGGACAACCTGAGATCTCAGACCTTACAGTGAATAGCTGCTCCCTTTCAGCAGCTCATTCTGCAGTGATAACTAATTCTTCAATCCAAAATAAAAGCACGACAGTCATATGAAGGCTAGAAGTGAATTCAGAAGTCCCTGGGCTCTGGTTTGAAATAGTCTCTCACATAGAGCAAGATCACAGAAATAGCCATTCTTTCACAGCAAAGGCAGCAGCCTTCTGGGTAATCAAAGATCAGATAGGGCTGGCAATTAGAGTTTACCCTGCAACACAGAGCACTCTAGAAACACACCTGGAGCAGCCAGGACGTGCCCTTTTACAGTGTAAGTATCACTCCATTCAGGGCCTTCCAGCCTGTATAAACCACCCAGCAGCTACTGAAGAATCTCTCCGTTCACCTCAACATCCAGTAAAAAAATAATTTTGAAACACTCCTTTTTTTACTTGAAACATTCTAGTTTACTCCCACATGAGAGGATCTCCCTAAACATGCAGAAATCTATGGTAAGTATGGAGCTTTTCAGTTACTTTGGGTGTGCAGGTATTGCGGGTCCTTCACAGAAACCTGACTAACCTGAGTGCTTTTTACTGTTTTGCTTTCAAAGTGTGTGCAGTACTTAATACCTCTGAGGCACTTTGTATTTCCAAAGCACTATACAAACACCAGCTAATTAGAGACAGCTAATAAGAATATCCCAAGATACCATATTCTCAGTGTGCAGCAAGGATTTTTATTTTGCCCTCCCCCTAAAACAGGGAAAGTTAAGGATTGAAAGATGCCTAAGAGTGTTCTCTCAACTGTGGAACAATACCTTCAAGCAAAAGGTATTGTATTTGAAACTTCCATACTGCCAGTGTGTAGGAAAGACCAAGCCCAGCCTGGCTAAATAGAAATGGCTCTGGTTTAATGGAAACTGCTGAGAAAATATCACACACACTGTCAGATGCAATTTCTATTCACAATAGACATCCACATTGTACACACTCTTCTTCTGAACTGACACTACACCGCAGCCATGCCTCTAGGGGCTCTGATCTGAGGAAAACAACTGAAAGGAAATCGCTAATCCCTTAATTAGTGGCACCAGCTTCACCTTCTGCAGGAATAATTTAGCAAGTCTGAATCGGCCATATGTCACACAAGGCAAAAATTTAGTAACTGAAAGTGACTCAGGCTGTTGGTTCATTCTTCTGTACCTACAACTCAGGTGGAGAAGGCCACTGAAGGGAAGTACTCCGTGTTAATTGAGAAGAGCTTCACAAACCACTCATCCCTGCCTTTTTCAAAAGCCATCCTCTCTCAGATTTCTGATGGGAGTTGCATTACACCAGGCAAGTCGCTGATCCTAGGTCTCAAGCACAGCTTCAGGAATACACAATTAGGGCCATGTTCCCTTGAATTTTCATAAAGCTCTTGTTTAAGCCACAACAGCAAGGGGATTAACTGTACTTTCCTAGCTGAGCTGCTTCAGTGCCTGCTAGATAAGAACAGAATCACACGCCATATCCACGAAAGACACCTGTTAGGTCTCATCATTCTGCTACTCCCTTCCCTCAGACCTCCCACGCAATGATTGCATCATCTAAGAGTCCTACAGAGCCATGTCTACTAGATTATGTCAAAGCCCATAATACTTATCTGCCTCAAGATACCAGTGGCATGAACCAGACTATCTACCATCAACAAAAAGGTCAGAGTTAAAAGCCTCTTTTCCTTCATACTGACATTTCTAGGCTGCTCTTTTCAGAAGGAGCTGCACTCACTATTCTGTGTATGCATCTCTTATGGTAAAGAGAAAAGTAAAGTCCACCTCCCTTCACCCAAGGGCCTACCTCTCCTCTACTCACAAATACCTGACAGAGAAACACTACTGCATAAAGCAGTACTCTGTTTCTCAAATCAGGTAATCAAACAGAAAAACAAAGACATTTGGATACCATGGTGATCATGGCCAGAGAAGAAAGTAAATTAGCTGCCATTATGATAATGAACTGGCTTTCCAAAGGAGGCAACTAAGAACCAACACACAGATGCTTTACCAGAACTGATGCTTGCTGTTTGACACTGTAACAATGGAACAAGCAGTCATGTCCACCAAGCAGCCACCACTCTGGGCTTTCCCTATTTGACTGTCTTGCAGAAGCAAAGTACCTGACCAGAGCTCCCTCCAGGTGTAATGAAGCCTCACTCTGCATTTCTTCTGGTAGCACAGCAGCTTGTGCACAATCTGAATGCACCGTCTGAAACAGAGAGAATAAAGGATTAATGGCATTGCATTTTTCAGCAATTCTATTGGGACATGTCTCCAAAATCAGTAGCAGAGAAATCGACAAACTCAAAGACTATCTCTGAGTTCTATTATCTGAGAGGAGGATGGGACTCAGGGCTTTGGGCTCCTAAAAGGAACCAATACTCACAAAAAAGAATCAGACACAATGAAGGAAAGGGGTTTGTATGCCAGTTTCAGCTGAGTGGGATTAGACAGACCACAAATACATGTTTGTTGGTTAATTAATACTTTCCACTCCTTGTAGCCCTTACCTGAGAGCCTCACAAGCTCCACAAAAGGAGTTACTTAACTTGTAGGCTCCATATGTATGAGATACTGCAAGTTATTGTTAGATCTGGACACAGTGAAGGTTGTCAGTTTCTTTGGCCCAAATGATGAGGCTAAAGGAAATGACAGAGTCAATCAAATTTCAGGATTTTCAGCTTGATTGAGCCGTGCAGTTTAATTACACAAAAAAAAAAAGATTTCTGTCAAATTTTGGAGTCTCCTTTAAAAAATAATTTAAGTGCAAGCTTTGGAATGGTCAAGCAATATACCTAGAAGCTCTGGAATCCCCAAACACAGAGCTAGTGTCCTTATGAAGTCTCCAAATCCTGTAGGCCTCCATAGCATCTAGTGTTCAAACAAAATCTTAGGTGCACCAACACTTTTCATAAAAAACATCAGAACTACACACACAGTATAATGGTTAGCACTAGCACTCATTAAAAAGACAAAAAATATATACAAATTTGAATTTGTTAGGCCAAGCTATTTTTAGCTATTGACATTTAGAAAAAAAATGGAGACTTCAAAAAAGGAAAGATTTTCCTCCAAATCCTTATTTCTCAAAAACATATCGTATTAATACCAATATCTTACTGAAAAGACACTGATGAAAGACACAACATATCAAGTAAAAACAAAGAAATCAAATTCTTAAAATCTGCATGGCATTTATTCAAAATGGGGTGAAGAGCTCAAAATTAGACTTTAAAATCAAGACTGTAGGAAACAATATGCAGAAGGTATACATTTTTCTTTTGAGACCCTTATAGGATCCCAAAAATACCACAAGGAGGTAAGAACTAAAACTAACTTTAAATGAATAAAGGTAAAACTATTTATAATTGCTGAGCATGACATTAAGTGCTGTATTTCAAACTGGATTCTCAAATTCAACCAAGAAAACAAAGTAAACCAGCTAGGACAGAGCTGCTTTCAGACAAGGAACAGCAATTGCTCTGGGGAGAGACCTGCTATTTGCCACGTTACAGGTACCAGACAATACCCAGCACCTTTGCACCCATGTATTTGCGTGGCTATAAGTCTAAAACTGACCTCTACAAAAAAGCAAAACTGTTTAAGGCACTGACCAGAGAGAATCTGCCAATGGCTAAAACATTTCTCTGTAATTACAACAGCTGTTAATGCAAAATAACCTGCATACATCTCTCATCATTGAAACCTTATGGTTGCATCCAGCTTTCTGGATGAAATCAAGGCACGGACAGAAAAGAAGAAGGGGCATAACAGTCCTAATACTCCTGCCTAAATAGCCAGAGCACCAACCAACAGCCTACAGGCTCCCAAACCACACTGCTTGGGTTGTGATCCTGCTTTAGTTACAAAGTTATCCATCCCAGTGGGGCTTCTCTGCTTTTTAGCTCTGTGCTGAGGATCTGTAATACACATAGTGGACAAAAAGCACCCCTAGTCAAAGCAATCTGGAATTCTTTTTTAAATATTAATGTGCCTATCCTTGAGCAGCTTCATTTGGTCACCTTTTAAATGCACTGCAGAGAAGTATGACACTACTTGTGCATTCAGGACACCCACTCTGTCTGCAATAACTGTGTCTGCTATGGGATGGTTTCAGACAGGAATATAGTGAAGGGACAGCACAAACATGCCAAAATGATAAGATACAGATGTCCACTGATAGTTGCTACTGCTCATTATTTTTAGTCTCATGGGTTTTCTAGTTGTGACCTTATTTCTGAGCCCAAGCATTTCACACATTTCCTGTGAAATTCCAGCGCATTACACCCAAATAATTCTGCAATTGTCACTTAAAAAAAAAATTTAAAAAAATTTCTCACAAACTCAACTGAACTGTACAACCTTTGAAAAGGCACTGTAATAGCAGGTTATTTGGGCAAAATCAGAACATGCTGAAAAGTTACCTTATGGGAAAACATCCTATGTGCCTTTATCTTTTCTATATAACATAGTGCTGTTCACGCCTTGGGGAAACTGAGCACTGTACAAACAGTCAGAGCAAAGCCAACAATCTGCCTAAATTCTATTTCTGCCCTCCAGGCTAAAGTAGCACAAAGCATTTGAGGGGCCCCTGTGGGACGCACCAAGCGTTCATCAGTAGCTCTGTCCTCTGCTCTCCTTTTGCCCACTGCTAAAGTTTTAGCTCCTGCTGCCTAGTAAGCTATTTCAGGCTTAAACCTCCCTCCCTCTCCCCATTGCCTTCCAGGCCTCATGTCAGTCAGCCTTGGTTTTTCAAACTGTCTTTTCAGTTTCTAGACCAAGATTCATCTTCTGGGAAGTGGGGATTCTTGCAATGATTCTGTGTTATGAAACATCTTTCAGACTGAAAAGCTCTTTGTGTTAGATCAAGCAGATTAGGAAATCAGTCTGAAAGGTAGAAATTCATTTTGCTTTCAATTTTCTGGCACAGAGAGGATTTTAGAAGTAGAAAGAGTTACTGGAAGAGTTCATGAAAAGCCATCCTGCTCCCCACCAGCCACAAAGTGTTATTTCAGACAGAAGATTGCTCTATGAGTAGATTTCCACCCAAATTTAAACTTCAAATACAAATCACAGTGAGTTACCCCACAGACACTTACACATAGAGATCCATAGGAAATTCTTTCATCATGTGTGTTACAATGAATTCCACCATCAAATCTGACAGAAAAGAAAATTATAAAGTAAATATTGAGCTGGCTTATGGTTAACTTCCAGTAGATTATGAGGAAGTCAAACTGCCCTATCTACCTACCTCTACCAGACAGTAGTCCTGCTTAGATGAGAGAAATTCCACTTTTTCATTTGTTCTAAAGAGTATTAGACATCCTCTAGAATTAGAAAAGAAACTACTGGAAACTGAGGGTATGTAATGTAATTTGCTTTGAGGCACTGCTTCCCCATATGCTTTATCCCACTGTTAGTCAATAAAGACTATACCAATGTTTAGAATTGTTCTCATATTTCAAGCCTTGTTACTAATGGAAAATTCCATTAAGAAAGCACAGTTTAGAAAATTATTCTTGCCAGAAACAATGCACAACCTAGATGTTTCCTTAAAGAGACATTGTAGATAACACTTATTTTTCCCTAAGACAAATTTTGAAGCAAGTAAACCTAGTCTGATCTCAACATAGGATAAGCTTCTGCTTAAGACTAATTCAGAGGAAAAAAAAGAGAATGTCTTAAGGGCTCCCAGTATGAGGATAAGAGGCAAAGAGTATAGAAATACAATTCAAAGATTAAGTTACTGTGGTTCAGCTAATAAATGATAACTGAATGTATGTGTGTCTGCGTGTGTACTGAACACAACTTCAGCCTAAAATGCTTATCCCACGCCAGTGGTAACACTCATGAGCTGTAACCTCCTAGGGCACTAATAGCCCAGCAGTGTGACTCAATAGTGACTAAAAACAGTGTAGGAAATGAGTGCATGAGATCTGCTAAGTCTAGAAAGATTCTTCATGCAGCTGTTGCATCTTGGTTTCAACAATCACACGCTTAAAAATGCTGCAGTTTAAGACTGCTTCCATACCATCAGGCTTAAGGGTCATTCAGGGATCCAGGCTCCATCCACTTCTGAACCCATTTATGCTTTTGGCCTCCACAGTAATAACAGCCACAGTTTAATCATGTGCTGCATGAAAAGCCTTCAACTATGCCTCCATATCCACAGGCAAAATCAATCCTAGCTACTGACATTCCTCTTGTCTTTTGCTCAGAAAACGCTAAATGCTCAGCAAACACATTCACAAATATGTGTCCTTTCCATAGGTTTGCCATCATCATATCATCTACAAAGTACTTGTGACTAACTGTTATCACACTCATCCAAAACACTGGATTTATTAAACAACTGCCCTCCCTATTGTTACCAGCTCAGGTCAAAGGAGCCAACTGGCTTCTGCAAAACTTAGGATTTCTTGATACAGAGCTGCAGCCTTGGATTTAATTTGTCTGAGACACAGCCATGTGTGGAGGAGATGGACATTATTGGAAATATCTTTAGTACATAACTGTCCTCCTTTGAAGTCCATCCACCTCTCCACTTAAGCCATAAAGCTCATATTTCTATTGCACAACAAAAGGTGCTTCAGGAACCACAAGCACACACGTGCTCCGACAACACTCACCGAGCACTGCACACACCAGCGGGCGACAGGGCAGGTTCTTGTCTGCTGCTTTCTTCCGATGTCTCATTGGCTTCAAACACACAGAGATGAAAAGAAATCAGAGGAAGCCTGAAGTGACAATCTGTGTACTAGTGCATTTTCCAAGCAAATAGTACCATCAGCACAGGCTTCCCTTAGTCTTTTCCTACAACTGCTGTCCTAAAGGCCACGGATGGAGTAAAATTTTGCCTGCTTTCCAGCATGTTGACTCCTGGGGTTTTGTTTCTCTAGCTGTGTAACCGGAGGGCATCGTTGTACTGGGCCAGGGGGGACCACAAGACAAAACCAAATCACACAGCAATTCCATCCCCTTGGTTAACATACTGACTTGGTTCCTGATCCATAATCTGACTGGCATTCTTGACAGTGCATACAGTACTCAGTGGCTTTGGTGTTTATTGTTACAGACCAGAAAGGCCAACTGGATAGTAAGTTTGCTGTTAAGTGGTAATGACAGGAATCCTTAAAGTATGCTCACAATAAAGGAAGATGTTTCTGTTCTAGATTAATGACACTTTCAGGTGCACTCTTCACTGCGAGATGAGGTGAAACTTGCCAGTACCATACAGACAGAATGCATCAAGCTAGGATAACCATCCAAGTTACTTGTAACTACAGAGCTCCGCGAGCCAGGTAAGGACAATTCCTCCAGAGGTACCTATAGGAAAATACTCAGGAAAAAAATACTTTCCTCCCTGAAGGTGACTCACTCCACCCAGTATGAAGCATAAGCCAAATGACAGCATTCAGTGTAACTCCAGCTGGCTATTATATATACCATGTGAGGGCTAATGCTTGCTGAAGATTAAGGCAGAATATACTCTCTGCCACTGATTTTCTCAGAGACCTCATAATACACAGCTCCTCCCCAGCTACACAGGCCTCTGAATTGACTGACTGAGCAACCAGGTCTTTGTTCTTTCAAAGAGGGAGTCATTCTGAGAGCAATTTCAAAATCATTCCCCAGCTACTGCATTTCTCACAGTATTTTCACATGCCTTAGCAATCTAGGTTAGATGTCTGTGACACAGTTTCCAACATACAGGAACTCAAATCCTCTGTGTTTGCAACCAAAAGAGAAGAGACACAATCTGGAGGAAAAGACTCACCATTCTGTGTAGGTTTACGCGAAAATTCATGTTGTCATCATGAAGAAAAGCGTTAGCATACTGATCCTGTTGAAAAGAGCAAGAAAAGGGAGGAGGTATGAACAAGCCCAACACTTTACAGTTGCCTCTCAAATCATGTGTTTCAGTGTAAAACTCCCAACATATAGCTATAAAGTTAAAAAGCCACCTGTCACTTCCTCTTTTCTCCACCTATACCTCCAGTCACACCAAAAGTAAACCCCTCCTGATCCCAGTTCCACTTTAACTAAAGCCTGAGCAACTTATTTTGCATTCTCTTCCTTGGTTCATTCAAACTCTGGACTGCACACACCTTGGTGTCAAGAGTTTAACAAGTGCTTCAGACACAAAATATGTGAGGAGGTCCTCCAGCACACCAGTTCCTGTGACTGTGTGGATGAAGGTTTAAACTGGCATTTTGATGGACTCATCATCATGCCAGAAGTTACAGCAGTACTAGCAGGTAGGTTTATGAGCTGTTCTACCCCTCAGGCAAAGCTCATTCCAAGATCACCTCTAAATTAAAGAAACTTCTCTAGATAATGCACAGCCAGGATGGGTAATAAATATATCCTCCCTTTAATACCAGAACCAAAGCATGTCCTTGTTATGTAGAAACAGAATTTATTATCTTGTGTTATCTATGCATTCACCTGAAGAACAAGTGCCAAAACCATTTAATTAGAAAAATTTGAAATGTAGATGATTAGCTTTCAGGCTGTACCCTGAAGAAACATTATTTTAGAATCCTTATACTGGCTGTCAATATCACTGCTTTTTATTCTTTCAGCATGAAAGGTCTTTTTGTGCAAGCAAAATGCAAATGCCACACAATCTCCATTCAGAACATGGGTCAGGCCATTAGTACATGCTTCCTATTAGACAGAACCACATTCAGCCAGGACTGCTGACATAGGCCTGTGAAACTGCTTTCTCACCCTACTACCACATTTGCTACTTATTTGTAGGGACCTACAACCACGTGGCTTTCTTTCAGACTTGTATCCTTCTTAGGCAAAAGAGATATAGCACAGCCACTGTTGCCATGCACAGTACAGAACTGAAAGCCATTAGCACATTACTCATCTAAAAGCCACACCACAAGGTCACTCAACAGCTAAGAGAGAAAAGGCTTAGGTTCACTCTATTCTCTCTTCATCCCTGGGAGTTAGCTAAACCCAAATAAGATGATTCAAATTTCAAGTCAATTTTAACAGTACTGCATCAGGTTTATTAGCAAAACGTTACGTGCCTGAGATCCTCATCACTCAGTACCCCTATGGAAATCGAGCTCCTGCTCCACAGGAGGCAGGGGATGTGCACAGAGATAGAGCCCTGTAACACACCATCTGCTGAGCAGCTTCACACAAGAAACCTACCTCTGCTATGCATGTCAGGATAATCAGGCACAGCTTGCCACTGTGCAGCCGGTGCTCATCTGCAAAGAAGAAAAACAAGTCCTCCATGAGCCACACAAGCCTAGCAATGCTGAAGAGCAAGATAGCTGTTGCAGCAAAAGAAAAGCTCAGCTTGGAGATTCTTCATACTCCTCCTTCCTCCATGCTAGCTAATAGTCTACTCTCATTAAGCATCGCTCTCCGGCCCAGCCACTAAATCCCACCCATTTGTCACCAGTCTGCACCAACACCAAAGCTCTGGACTTGAACCTCCAACAGCACTGTAGCTACCTGCTGGGCTTCGATCCTGTTCAGTTTTACTTTCACAGATATTCTAAATACTGGGGTTAGTCCTTGTCTTCCTATCACAGCAGTAACACACTGTTCCCTCTCTAAGACAAAATGGAAAGCAAAACATCACCTTTACTGTAGGTTATGAAACAAGCAGCAAAGCTTTAGTAGACACACAGCAAGGTGTAGCAGAATGACTCCTGACATCAGGCTCAAAGTTCCAAGTTTTACCCCAATACTGAGAGACATGACCTACTTTGCTCTGTGTCAAACCATGAAAGAAGGAAGTCTACAAAGTCTTAGCATTTTAAGCCAAAAGAGTTTCACCCTGATCATGTTCCACAACTTCTTATTCATCTCACGGTGTCAAGCAGCTTTTGCCCTGAATGGCAATTGGTGGGCTGAAAGACTCACAAATAGAGGGGGACTGAGGCAGAAGAATGCAATTTTTATTTGGACTATTTAAAACTCTTTTCACTCAATTTTAACCTTGAAAGTCAAAACCTCCGAAGGTATATACAGTCCTAGAGTAACTTAGGACAGAAGAAAGCTCCGGTTCAATCCTTGCACAAAGCAGGGGCAGGTAAGATCAGGCATGTATATGGCAATGCACAAAAACAGACAGAATGGGCTCAGACAGCTGTTCTGTCTAGTTTGACACCTCCTGTTTTCTGTTCTATGCTGCTGAGGGACACACATTTACTAACAAGGTGTGCCCTGAAGTGTGCTGGTTTCATCTTGATGCACTAAGTAAGATGAAGAGGAATTTTGGAATCGGAGAGTTAAAAGTCTCTCCTATCTTCTTACCTCATCTAAAATGTTTAAAGTTTTATACTCCAGCAAAGCAGGAGAAATGGCCTCAAATAACTTTGATACACAAGAGTCCTGTTATTTTCATATTGTAAGGCTTCTCTGTATATTTCTGTAAGTGCTGCTACCACTTCTCTCTCTGGGGATGGTGCTGTAAAGGCTCCTGTTTCACACCAAGTGCTCTGCCTTCCACCAATGCGTTGTGAACATCATGCCATTTCCAGCAGCTATGGGGCATCTATGCAAGCAGTTACTCGCACAGACATTTTGTACTTTCACAGCACCCTTCATTAAAGGTACAAAGCAGATCACATCCTACAGGGTGGTATATCAGTATGAACCCTGTTTCACAAATGGGGGGAAAAATGCAGAGGTTTTGTTTCTCCCAAGGCAGCTGCCTCTGACTGACACAAGAGAGGAAAACAAGAGGAGGATCTAGCAAACAAAATCAATTAAATTATGCTCTTTGAGACAGGACCAAAACAGCTATCTAGTCCTGGATGTTGAACAAATCAGTCTCCCCTGTAAGTGTTCCCACATGCCTCAAGACACATGGAGTAGACTAGAGTTATTCATTCTTCTTCTCTTCTTGCTACACTGGTGTCACATAGAACCATAGAATGGCTTACGCTGGAAAAGATCTTTAAGATCAAGGAGTCTTTATGTGCAAGCACTGCCAATTCACCACTAAACCATGTCCCTAAGTGCCACATCTACCTGCCTTCTAAATACCTTCAGGGACCGTGACTAGAGCACTTCCCTGGGCAGCCTGTTTCATGCTTGGCCTTACAGAAGAAAAAAACTAGGTAGGGCTCCAATTACAATCAAATTATAAGGACAGGAATATACCCACTAGAATTAATAAGCACTGGATTGGAAGGCACACTTCTTTTAAATGATGGATCAGTGGAGCTCAATTGCCACATACTACTACCATGGTGGGAAGGAGATTGGGTCTGTCAGTCACACAAATTTCAAATGTTATACAAGCTAGAACCAAAGTAAAGAAAGAAACCTCAACTACTGTCTCATAACGTAATAAACTCATCCCTCACTGGCTTGTTTAGTAAGGATTCCCCTCTATCAGATTTCACTCCATCTGAAACTAATCCAGCTGAGGCCCTGTGCAGACTTTCCATGTTACGGTGACTAAGTGCAGAAGTTAAATTGAAAAACGTAAAATTGTTCCATCAGAGACTTAGATCAGCAAGACGGACCCTGAGAAAAGCAAATGAGAATGATTAGAGAGCTAGTAAGCCCTCCTCACGAGTGCAATCTATTAGAAATGACTAAGCAAAGATTGATGTGGTTTAGTTCAAAAGACAAAAGCGAGAGGAAACATGAAAGCAGACTTCAAATACATAAGGGTTGACACAAAGAAGAAAGAAATAATTCATTCTCAATATCTATCTTGGAGAAGAACACTAGTAATTTATTTAAATCACAGCAAAGAATTTAGGAAGCACATGAAACTCTCTCACAACAAGGACAGTTAAACACTGGCATAGATACTCTGAAAATGATGTTCCACTATCAGTGTCTGCACCCAACCTGTTAGCAACACCTCTGAAAAAAGATACAGGTAAATCTGATTCTGCCTTAGTTTTCAGTAGTTTTGTAGTTTAATCCCAGATGGCAACTAAGTACCATGCAGCTGCTCACTCACTCCCAATGCTTCCCACCTTCTTCCAGTGGGGAGGAGAATGGGAAAGAAAAGTTAAACCGAGTGAGATAAGAAAACATTGACAAAATACAATAATAGTAATTATAAGCAGAGTGAGAGAGAGAGTAACAGAATCCAATAGAACTGAGCAATGCACAATACACTTGCTCACAGGCTGCTGACCCATACCCAGCCCATCCTGAACAGCAAGCAGCCCCTTCTGGATACCTCCCCCAGTTTAGACACTGGGCATGACACTCGTCAGTATGAAATATCCCTTTAGCCAGTTCAGGTCATGTATCCTGGCCATGCTCCCTCCCTGTTTTCTGTGCACTTCCTCACTGGCAGAGCATGAGCCACCGAGAAGTCCTTGACATACGGTAAGCACTGCTTAGCCAGAGCCAAAACACCAGCGTGTTATCAACATCATTCTCACACTGAACCCAAACTCACAGCACTGTACCAGCTGCTAAGAAGAAAACTAACTCTGTCACAGCAAAAATCAGGACAGGGATGCACTAGATATTTTCATTAAGTCCCTTTTGGTCCTAATTTTAATTATTCATTTTTTCCTCAACTAGCTTGCTTACTGAACAAGAACAGGACAGCCAAGTACAATTTCACTGCAAGCCAGTAGGCACAAGGAAACTCTCCTGCCTGCTCTCTTATTCAGTGCCAAGCATTCATGAAGTTCAGTAATTCATGTATCACAATCTCTGCAGCTATCGTCCTATTTTTGTTCAGTTTTTACGTCTAACTTAACAGCAAAAGTCGGTAATGGGCTGAAAAACGGTGCAAAGATCACCTGTTATGTTCACACCACAGTCTTGCCCATACAATCACTGGGCAAAACAGCACCCTTGAGTACCTTGAGCAGGAGATGAACCAATACTTCAACTCCAGCAAGCTGAAATTAACCCCCACAAAACTACAGGAGCAGCAAAAAGCACAGCATAGAAAGATATCTTCTCAAGCAAATTACTGCCAGTACAGTGTAAGTTGCTCCTGTCCTCTTTACAATCATAGAGCTCCCTGCTTAACCATCAAGTACCAAAAGACAAAGGAAATATCTCCTCCTAATGCTGAGCTTTGCCTCCTGGGCCAGCTTCTAAGTGTTCTTAAAAACACAGTTCTCTGGTGCATGACTTCCCCTCTCTGACAGATAGCTGGGAATCAGATATGCTCACACCTCCTGCATATGGACAGGTTTGGTTATTAGGTACTATCATTATTATTACATTCTTTTCATACTTGACATCCCTCCTGTCAGCATTACATCTCCCCCAGTCTCCTAACTCTTCATCTAGCACTAAAAATCACTTAATTTTCTCAAAAGGTGAAATCTTCATTCCTTTAAGGGGACTCCAGTTCACCTCTGTTTCTGAAGTTAGTAGACATATTCTTGTGCCCTCCTGACTTCCAAAAGCACTGTTTCCTGTATCCACAGACTTCATTTACCTTTTGTGTCCTGCATCACAATCGAGCTGTACTTCAAGAAGGTTATCAGCAAGTTGCTGGTTTGCACATCAGCATCCAAAGGCAGCTCTGCAGAGCTTATAACTGGAACAAAGCAGATAAGACATGTTTACTCTACACAAATACAAGAAATAACTATACAGAGAACAGAGACACAGACTCACAGATCTGGGGTAAGAACAGCTTACTTGCAGGACCACCTGACCTCCTCCTGCTCCTTCATGACCACCCAGAAAAGACTTGTACCACACCCTCAGAGATCATTTCTCCTGCTCCAAGCACAGGCTCTGGTTAAGAAGTGATATCCTTCTCTGTCCTGCCCCCACTCCTCCCCTAAGGGGTTTCAGCCTGCTGTTTTAGCCGTCATCAACATTCCCAACCCAGAGAACTGAAGATATTTGCACTGATATCCGATTAATTCTTGCAAGCAGCACGGATAACATGCACACCATTCTCATTCTGGAAAGAGACATGCCCAGCAAAGGCCCTTTGTTTCAGCAATTTTGGAATTTCAGTTCCAAAAGATCCACATCACTTCCATTCTTCCCTCCAACAGCAGTCTCTCTTCCAGAAGAACACGAGACATAGCATAATTATTGCATGACAAAAATGGTAGAAAAGGGAGGCAGAAAGAGCAGTTTTATAAAAATCAAGAAGCAAAAGCAGTCACAGCTTGTGCTAGATACATCACAATCCAGCAGGGAGTAGAAATGTACTTTCCATATCTGCAGTTCACTGGCATTTCTCTAGGACACCAGCTGTACTTTTGACACCTCAACAGTGGACATCATCTGCCTTAGACTTCACAAGAAGCTATGTTGATTCCTCAGCTAATTGCACAATATGCCTCCTGCTCACTCGCCATGTACTATCTGAAGCACCAAGTTTATGAGCTGTCAAACCTCCACCATGTGACTGAGCCACAATTTTACTGATGACTGAGCCCAAGCTGTCCTAAAGGGCCATTCTCAGCCTTCCCATTCAGAAAGCTTTACGAGAAATATTGAAAGGGAGGAAAAAGATAAGTGGGAAAAATGCAGCATGCATTTACCTGCAGATCCTGCCAGATAAATCTGGTATCAAAGATAAATTAGTACAGGCAAAAAAAAACCCCAAAACCAAAAACCCAAACAAAAACCTGATGAAGCTAGTCTAGAAGAACCTCAGTAAAGCACTTAATACAGTTCTCTACGAAAAATTGAAAGTGAAGCAGATAAGTGAGAACCAACAGATAAATTTAATGTACATCAAAGTTCTGGCAAAGGAGAAACAATTAGAGAAACTATAAGTCTGAGAAGAACTTACTACTTGAATTCCTCAGGTGACACTTTTCTTTTTAGAGAGTGACTTGGACACAACAAGCAATCGCTTGCTAGTGAATCTGCCAATGGCAGAAAGTTGGGATATGTAAATGCAGAGGAGTATCAGACTGCACACAAAAAATGGGCTAAAAACACAGACGGATAATAAATACAAGATGAAATTCAACAACACAAGCCATAAGGTCAGGAATTCAGGGATATTTTTCCATGGCAAGCTTAGAGCTCATCAGCTGCAAACCAAATACCATGATACACTATCAGATCACAAGATGACAAGCTCCCAACATGAAGTGCTCAAGAGCATGGTTATACAACATACCCAGAAATCCACTTCCAGCAGAGACAGGAACACTAATGCCCTGCACAAGGTGCTGGTGAGAGGTCTCAAACACTGTGTATAATTACACAGAAACCATGTCCAAAAAGGATGAACTTAAAACTTGGGCAAGTTTAGAGGAAGGCTATTAGGTAGATCAGAGAAGCAGAGCAGCCTTCTTGTGAGACAGCAAAATACACAGGCAAGTAACCCAATTTATGAAAAAGAGCAATCTGTGTTCCAAAGGAAGGTTAAGGGCATGATAAATGGGTATGAATGGACAGGAAACACAGGTTGCAAAGTTGAAGATTTCTAACCAAAGAACAAGATGCTGAAAGAGACTCCCAACAAGAATTATTGGGAAACAAATTGAGTCAGAGTTTGATAAATTTAAGGGATTCTATGATGATATGCTTGCAAGCACAAGGCACTAGATTCAAGGAGTTAAGGGGACATAACACTACTGTTCTGGCTGCCTAAGAACTCAAACTCACAGGTTTTCACATGCAGAAGGTTCTAGGTGGCTTGAATTTACAATTGTCAGAAGGTTCTCTCTCTTCTCAAACTATAAAGATAGCCTAAGACAGGGGTCCCCTTGCACTGGAAACAGATCTGCAGACCACCAGGATACACATTATAAGACCTGTATTATCTCAAAATTTTCCATTTATCCTCAGGAATGCTCAAGGCTTTTCTTACTCACAAGGAAAGAAAAAGGTATTTATGATGAGACTGGACTTGACAAGAAGCAAGGAATTCCTCACATCTGATAGTTGCATGGCTAAGCTGGGGGCTCTGAGGGGAAGAAATTTGATCCTGTATGCAACTATTTTGGTTCAAAGAAAAGTCTGTTTTAACATACAACACCTTCCACAATTCAAGGCTTGTATCTCATAACTCTGTAATGAGGCAAGTCAGTCTTATTTACCCCTGGAACCAAGGCAAGGGCAGGCACAGAAGGAAGAAGGGGACAAACCAACAGCAAAATGCAGAATTCTTTAAGCTGAGCACTGAGAGGCCCCGAGCACAGCAGAGGTTTTCATGGAGTTCAGGACTATACAATTACCTCGAATACAAAATTGTAGCCCTTGGAAACAACAGGTCAAATAGATCAATGTAACCTTGCTGTTTGAACCACATCAAATAAATCATAATGGGGCTTTTAGCTTCTAAAGGTTGCACATCCCCAAGCATGAGCTGGTTTAGTCCAGTCTTGAAGCTCTGGGGCTCCCAACACATTGCTAACATGCCAGGTCTGTTGGCAAAGTCTGTACAGTAAGACTGGAAGCATTTTCACTCCCAATATTATGAATAGCTCAAAGATTTTAGCTAAAGTCTGAAAAAATGTATTTATATCCCCAGTGGGTCCTTCTGGAGCTGTTACAATGAACGTACTGAATGAATATTTAACAACAGTAAGCAAACTGACATTTAGATAACTATGGTGACAGGCACACTTGATTTACATATTATGGATCAACAGTTTCTAGCAAAAGTCTCATTTGAAAAAAAAGAAGAAATCACTCTGAAGAACACATCACTGCTCATCCTGGTTCATGCTACAGACCCTGATTTTTTTAACACACATCTTGAGACTTTACAAGGTCTTAATTCACACTATAGGCTAACAGCCAGAGAAATTTCAAACCAGAATACGAACTCATTTTCAATCCCAGTCAGCATAAAAGAAAAGCGTATGAAACCCATAGATGGATTTCTACATGTTACTGTAACTTGAAAACAGCCACACATTTTTTTTTAGATGCAGGAAAAAGAAAGCAATCTTTTCATTCCACAGCCAAAAAGCCTCTTGCTAACTTGCAGCCATAGGCAAATTTTGCAGCTGAGTTGCAAGACCTTAGAAAATGAGGAAAATTCTGACATATCTTGAAAATAACAGCAATACTAATGCACCAAACTAAACCAAGGGATGCAAAAAAAAAAACCACCTATCACTGAGAGTAAGGATCAGCAAGGCGACAGCAAATAAAGAATGCTTCCAGATGTAATTGCTGCACATTAGGATCAGCTTTTCTTAAATTTAGCAACATTACAAGCAGCAAGAAGCCTCGAACTTCACAAGATCATTGTCTCTGCTGAGAGCACAAATGGAAGTTTTGTTTTGATTTTGCTTTGTGTTTTGGTAAATTAAAAAAAGAAAAAAGAGAGTGCAAGCAAGCTGTATCGATGTAGGTAAGCACAAACCCTGTCAGTTGTATAATACGGTGTGTGGGTGGATACATTTGCAATGAACACGTTGAACAGAAGCCCACAAAATGCCTGTCCCTCCACAGCTTCTGTTATATGCACACAGAGACTTCAGACATAGGGGACTTTTTATCTGAAGCTTTTGTTAACCATGGTAACCAGATAGAATTCATCCACAAGGAGGATCATCCATAACTAGGGTATCAAATGACCTGAATAGCTGGCACAACTGAGTAACTCAGACTGCTTTTCCCCAGAAATATTTCCAAACTCTGCTCTATTCAAACCAACTCTGTTCCTTCATTAAACAACGCTTTCTTCAGCTCCAGAGGATGCCATTAAACTACTTGACAACAGTCATTTCACTTCTTCTCTTAAACTAGGCTATATCTATCCATACCTTTACCTGAAAGGGTTTTATTTTAAATTATTTCAAAGCATGTTTATGTGGACACATAACATTTCATTTAGAACAAAGATCTCAGGGTAAGCAGTCCATTACAAAGCCTAAAAGAGAAAAGGCAGTGAGAGGGAGGAATATTTCCACACCCAGATTGGATTCAAATCCCAATTAATTCAAATCTGAGGGCAAGTGCATTAATGACAAGCAGGAATCCACTGCAATTCTCCATAAATCTGTTCCAATGACAAATAATCCCAGGCAAAGGACCTGACACTAGAAATATTCATAAGTAAAAGCCTATCCAGAATAATTAATGGGCTGGGTGTATCTTCATGCAGATGTTGGGAGAGTACTGCGTTCAGAAGAAATATAAGCATAATTTCAGGAGCAATATACAAGGCAAAATAGAAATATGTTTGAGTCAAACCATCTTGCTCATGTTCAGTAAGGTAAGTCACTCCAGGAGGAGGCTACCAAGTTACTTCTACTCCAGACAGATCTCATTAATTGCCACTTTGAAAAAATGCTTTGCTAGTACTTTTACAGTTAATCATTTTTTCCCCCAGGAGATCATTATATTTCTTACCATCAGAAGAAGGTGGGGTGGTTCCAAGCGGAGTGACAGGTGTCATTGGAATTGGGCTTGTTGGTGTTGTCATCAGGCCCATTTCAGGATGGCTCTAACAGAAAACACAAATGCCCAAACATGCACAAGTCAATAGCTTCCTTAGGCACTAGACACACACATCTCTACTTCTACAGCTCCATGTTCTCCCACAATGGACATGACTAATGAAGTCCCAAGAAACTTCAGCCTCTCATTCAAATAGCCAGGCCATGCCTCCTGACCTTGAACATCTAACAAATAAACTGTACATCAATTTCTTTACTCCACAAAACATGAAAACACATCAGGAAGTGGTGGCTATCCCCAGCAGACAGAAAACATGCTCTTCCCAGTGCAGAATGGGAGAAGATTTGCAGAAGCCTACACAGTTCATAGCTTCTAAATCCCCCAAAAACAATCCAAGGATGTGCACCTGAAGTCTTCGGCCAAGATCCTTTCGCATCTCTTTCTAAAAGCAAATTCTCCTCACTCCTGCCCCCCACTTGTTCACAGTCAAAGATGATAGCAATTTATTACTTCCCTGTCTCACTATAAAGCCCAGGCACTGCAGGAAAAGAATGCATAACATAAATAACACTATCATTATCGATCCTCTCAGCTTCCATCAGTCAGTTACTCTCCCATTTCATCTTTGCTAATAGTTGCCTGCCTAATTACTGCTTTGACTTGACTCTTTGCAGGCTTCCAGATCTATCCACACTGGTGAGAGTGTAGGCAATCTGCCATGCTATTTTTGAGTCTGGCTGCCAAGCAAAGTGTCCATTTCATAGGGCAAGTTTTACATAAATGTATCATCTGCCTTTAATATATCATCACAATTTCAAAATAAAAGAAAGAGACAGAGCTGCTGATTTATGTTAGCTCCACAGGATTTTTCCAGAATTGGATATCCTCCACATCACCTTTGAATATCTCATTTTATGAGCAACTATAAATACATGTATTTTATGAGAAGCACAGATACACATACTACAACCCAAAGACAATTTTAAATCACTGCAAGTAGAGACTTAAACTTTAAAATCCAATTTTTCATTGCAAGTCTTACATAAGCCAGGTTTAGGTATGCTTCTGTAGATCTTGGTCTGGGGTTTACCTTCCTTCCCCCGAACAGTACCAGCAGTTGAGAGACAAGACTGCCACCCAGCAGCAAAACTGAGCATCCACACTGGTGAGCATACTGAGACCTTAACACTTCAGACATCCACACAACTCAATCCCTGCTCTTCCCGTGTACCACACAGCAGCAGGGAGCCACTCAAGCAGTGCCAAGCAATGGACACCAACTTAGGCAAGAGTATTCATCAGTTTTTATGAGGTTCTTTCAGCATGACATGACCTACCTTGCCCTCTCTTAAATGAAGAACATCAGGCCTCCTCTTCAATTAAAGCCATTAATCAGTGGCTGCTTCAGCTATCACTTTCACAGGTAACTAGCTTATCCTTTTATTTTTAAGAGCTTTTACTCAAGCTGCTCTTTTTCTGTACTACTCTTTTCCCTGCCAAAGGCCTCTCTTCCCTCAGGTATATCTCGACCACAGAAAGGCTTGAGATGGTACTACACAGAACTGAAAGAGCAGAAATCTGTCACAAGTGATAGGAATGAATAACCTGGGAAAAGACAGGCAGGGAACTTCAGCAAATTAACCATCTGTGAAACAGAAGCTTTCTTCAGAGGCAGTAGATCTGCTTATCAGACCTCTTCCATCACCATTAGTGTCAAGAGTCCCCAGAGGTCTCCTCTGTCATTCCAAGGGTCTAACCTGTGATGTATGGCTGCACTCTGAGGACCTGAAATAACTGGGGAAAGGTGTTAACTGTTTTGCAGATGTTTTTTCTCAGAGATTATCAGAATTACCTACAAACCAAAATTAAAAGCCTAAACCTAAAGGTTTTCCTAAACACAACAGGTTACCCTTTCAGCCAGCCACAGGACGATCACTAGCTCAGAAAGGCTCATCAACTGCATCCCAGCAATAATCACCTTTGCAAATTCACACAGGGTTTAGAAAAGCATCCAGAGGTCTGTGATCAGAGGTATGGAGCAGCCCACTGCTGTTCAGAAGGCTGCCATGACTGTTTCTCCATCATAAGCAGCACAAGGACAAGTGCTATGCTCCAGCAACAGGATCCCAAGCAAAAGGGGTTAGGCTCTCCACGGAAGTTTGAGCACTAAAGAGTATTTGATACAACAGTTGTCACATGTCAATTAGTCCCTAAGTGAACAATACCCAAACAGACAACAACATGTAGTCTGTGCACACCCATACAGGACAATTCATCCAGTTCTGGAGCAGGATCAGCCTCTTTC